TTTATTTTCATATGTTAATTCAGTGATAATACCTGCTCTGGTATTCAACTCATTAACAGTAACAGCACTTCTATGGACTGTACCATGCATAAAGCTAACTCTTCACTTTCTCAGATATCATTCCTCTTAAGTTACAACTTGTCTTCTTTACAGGATGATATTTCATGGAATGGCAGTAATAACTTGCAATACTATGGAACGGGAGCAAGCATGATGCTTTGATGTAAATGAAGGCAGGAAATAAGTAGCTGTTTCCTGGTCATGTTGGGTTGAAGAGCAGGGGTCTCAACCTGACCTTTTTCAGTGCCACTTCAGACATTCTAGATCAAATAAGACATGTTCTGGTAACTGGTATGTTTATTTGCAACTTTAAATCCCTAAAGTTCACTGACCTGCTACAGGTGTCTTGTGAAATATGGTTGGAGATAACAATTTTGCACAGATCAGGGAAGAGAAATAAACAGAAACTTCTGCAAGGGAGTGCATGCTGGGGTGGGATGAATTAGTCTCTGGAGGTTGCTCTCTTCCTAAATAACAGCAATGCCAAATAAAATTGATCTCTTTTTTTTACTCATTTTTGATCTGTGACACAGGAAAAATGTTAATTTGCATCACAGACATGGGTGGATTACATTGCAAACACATTACAAATTTCATATTATAAAGATGCCATCGAACTCATTATGCTCTACATTTTATAGAAAAACAGGTCTCTACTTCTGTGGGTTCTAAAGTATCTTGTGCCATCACAAGTATCTGTGGCATAACACTAAGGAAAAGGAATCTCCAAAGCGGTAGTATCAGAAAAATGTCCTACCTTTGTTCCAACTCCAAAATATTCTCCATCGCTGGGCAATTTTCAAAAGGCCAGATCTTTGAGAAAAGTGGGCAGAGGGGAAAAATAAAACTGCAAATATTTTTGCGAAATGAAACCTTTGTCCTGAAGAAATAAAAGGAGACAAGAACAAATACTAACCATTCTCTAGGGATTTGTTCTTCCCTGAAAGTAAGGTAAACTTTGTCTAATTTCAGAAGTCAGCAGTATCAATTTATTAAAGTAAGAAAATGCACAAATCTTACTGGTGGCACTGGGTGAATGTGCACAGTCTCTGCACAAACCCTATTGTCCAGGCAATTTACAATACCCATTGGAGCATCCATGGCAGACTGCGTATCTTGTGACATAAAATACCACTGGCAAAACAGTACTTCACAGTGCATAAAATTCATAAGTGTTCTCTTGCACTGAAGTGAACTGTTCTCTGAAGGTTCAGTCTTTTGCCAGCTCCCTGAAAAGTGGTGTGCAATTTCTGAAAGAGGTTTCTAGCAGGTAACAAAATAGGCAGAAAGAAGGAATGAAATTTTTAAACTGAGACACTATGTAAATATATGTGTTTATATACTGAAGGTTGGGTATATCATAACAACAGCATACGCTCACATGCATTTTCCACCAAACTAACAAATTTTGACAAATATTTCAACCATTAATCAACCACAAACAAAAAGGCATATTCCCTGGGTTTTCTCTCTAAAATTTGGGGTAATTATTACAATTTAATGTGCTTTCTTTGTAAAACAAAGAAATTCCATTGCAACTCTTGTTCTGCCTTGTTTACATGTGTACACATACTGCATCATTTTGTTGGCTGTCTTCTCATTCATACTCTTAAGCCTTCACTCTCTCTGAATAGTACTTTTTCAGTATATAAAAAACCTCAAATATCAACAAAGGATCTACTGTAGCTTAAGAATCCAGTCAGTAGGGAAAAAGGTATCATACTGTGTCTTTTCCTTTTATTTTCTCTAAAATGAAAACTGTAAACACCAACAGAATCCATCAGGTGATCCAAGCAACTCTTAGCTTCTGCTGGACTGCGTATTTGGAACAGCCCCGTGGCTGTCTCCTGACCTACATTTCCTTGAGGGTTTTAAGCCCTGCATTACGGGAGTGCATATTCAAAGGCTGGAGCTTGAACGGTATGGATTATTACTGAGTAAAGACACAAGTTCAGACCCAAGAGATACAAATTTAACTGGTCACATGATCAATTATCTGGACTGATGCTTTAATATCTATTTTCTCTGCTGAGGCCATAGAATATTATCGACCTGAATCATACACACACAGAGACTGTATATCGCGGCAGTCTATACAGGTAGGTAGGGAGAAACAATGAAATCTTATGGTTGTGCAAGTCCTCTAGATTTCAGTCAAAGTGCATAGATGCAAGTGTAAATATTTAAAGATACAATTCACTGCTGTAGAGTCTTTTGATCTTGTAGCTCTACTGATGATGATGGAGCAGGGGGAACATTCATGCAATAGTGTATTTGGGCTCAAAGAGCAGGATTTTGTTCTTCTGGGTTATGAAGACAAGGGAAGAAAACGTCTACTGAGATTTTTGTGGAATGAAACCTTTATCCTGAAGAAATAAAAGGAGAGGATGACTGAATCCAAAGATGACTGCAAGAGAAATGTAGCTTTGCAGTGACAGATACAGTTATCACTATCACTTTCAATGTGATATCAAGATTTTGGTTTTTATCATTCCACAAAACATTACTGAAAACTCTCTTAAGGCAATTGCCGTAGGTTTTTTTCTGTAAAAAACATAACTTAACGAACAAACAAATAAAACCCCCCAAGAATGTCAGCCTTCATAGAATTATTAAATCCAGAGTTAAAATAGCAGCGATCTTGTTAAGAGCATTCTGGTTCTTTTTAACAGCTGATACTCAAAAACATTAGTTTTCAAACATGCAAACTTGTCACAGACATCAGAAAAGCCTCTTCTGCCCACCATCTCTCAGCTATTTCCTAAAATAGAAAGCAAAAGAAATTCCATCTCTGAGTAGGAAGAGATTATAAATATGAAAGTTGTAAATGTTAGGTAACTGAATATTGTGAATGTACTTTGTAAGTGTTTCACTGATATTGTACATATACACTGTATCGCAAAGTTACCAGTAAAGGGCAATGTTTAAACAGTACAATCAAAGGGTCATGTGCTGAGCAAAACAGTGACAATGCTTTTGGTTTCAAGATAAATTTATTGTTATGATTTGAGTTAAACTGTCATTGTATCAATTATATGGGCAAATTGGAAATTGCATTTCTGGAGTCTCTGTATGCGTGGAAGTTTCATGCAATATGCTACAGGAAGAACTTACTTATTTTATTTCCTTAGGTGAAATAAAAACATAATGTACATCAGGCCTGTACCTTAAAGGACACCTTTTCCAGTTCCTTCCCCTACTTCCCCCTGCCAAATACAACTCAGGATAGTCCGAACACTGCCTGCTGCTGGTGGTGGCAAAGTCATTCCTCACTGCTCTTGAGGAGGTAAAAAGAAAGCAGCAAATACTTATTGCTGTATACTTATATTCAAAGCATGATACTGCCACACTAAAGATTTATGAAAAGTTCTAACCTTCTTATAAATCTGTGTAAGTAAATAACTTATTTTGACAAGCAGTCCTTAAAGCATTTTCCATACACAGAATTTTTCACCGGCAATAAACACATACAATACGGATCCTGATTAAAATATGTTCAAACCCATAAAATATCTACTTCATCATGAACCACAATTTTAATAGTTATTCAAAATCATGTCTTCATGTAAGTGTTTTGTACTGAAATGAACACGGTCATGATTTCCCACATGAGATTACAGTCAAATAATCAATGATTTTATTTGAATCTTAGACTCAAACACAAAAATACACAACAGTACACTTCCTTTATTTCAGGAACAGCACTCTGGCTTTTGCTATAATGCTTCATCATGATCTGAGTAGAACTGATATATTAATCTGGGAAAGGACTGGATTCATCACTTAAGTAATATTTTTAAAATATTAATTAGTCCTTCAAATATTACTAGGTTTTGGGTTTTTTTATATTGATAGATAGTGGATCGATCTCTTTTGGAACCAGAATATGAGGGCCATTATTCTAGTCTGAACAAATAACATGACTTGATTTTTTTTCTTTCATTGGAACAGATTCTTTAGGAAGATTATGTAGTCTCCTTCCCTGAAAGGTTTTACAAACAAATAAAAAATATCTGTAAAGAATAGCTTAAACATCATTGTATGTACCATATGTACCAATGACAGAGTTAATACTTCTCAGTCATTATAGATGAGTAGTGATTTGTAAAATCTCAGAAGTTATTCCATCGTAACACTGAAAATAAATAACTGTAAAATAAAGCCACCCCACCACACAATTCCACACATGCATACAAACAGAACCACACAATACACACATACACTAAAGCTCAAGAGGAAAGCTACAGAGAAGCATTTAAAGTTTATTCTCATTTTCATCAGGTTGAAAAATGGAAATCATGAAGAAATACTCAACAAATAGTAAGGCTGATTTGGGGTTTTTCTGGAAAGGCTGGGTGGTTCTTTGATTCAAGAAATGTTCAGAAACACTTGGCTGAGAGACTCTGAAGGTCCTTTTTCTTCTGGGCCTACCTGTTATGAATTTCTGACTGTATTTTTTAGGCACACTGTATTAGGAAGGACATGAAGAGATAGACTATCATACAGATAGCACTGAAGGACCTGCTCTTGGTATCATGTCTGTAAAAGTAATAATGAATTCAACTTTTTATGCCACTTAAATTCTTATTTTCTCCTTTAAGAAATAACCTGCAATTACCATGACAGTACCCATTCAGTGCTATTCACCTAGAAATAGACCAAATTGACAATGTCTTTTTGATTAATCCACTTTTTAAAAACATTTTTGAATGTATGAAGTATAAATGCTAAAATAGAATGGAATATAAAAATAAAATGCAATATCTGATTTATAGTATGCAATACGTTGTATATACCATGTCCTTGATATCAGCCAGTTCAGTGACGACAGATTACAGTTTTCCCCTTCTGTCAAGAAACACATGGAAATTGCTATCTTCAGTGAGACATCCCAGACAAAACAAAGACCCGTTTCTTTGAAATTTGTGTGTTTGATTTACCTTCATTGTCCCTTAGAGTAAAGTTGGGATTCAGAGAAAGCCCTTCATCAAGGGAAAAATGGAATCTTGCCCCATTTGCAGAGTTATCTTTGTCAGTTGCAGCGATAGTCTGAATTACCTGAAATAAAAAGTGACAGTGAATGTGTTGAAACTTGAATTTGACCCAAATAGTCCCTGACCTCAGGAGCATGCTCAAATTAGCTTATTTTAATTTTCTACTTGACTGTTGATAAATTTGACCAATGAAATGACTGGGCCAATAGTTTGATTTCTCTAGCAAGAAATTTTTTAGGAACGACACTTCAGACCTAGATAAAATCATCTAAAGCTTCCATACTTTCTAACATTCTGATATGGTCAGCACCTGGTAGAGATTTTCTTCATCTGCATTTCATACTGGTGACTTTCAGAATTACAGTTTCACCTAAACATCTGTTTTCAAAGAGCCAAAATTCAGGCTGAACAAGGATGGTCTATTCAGAGCATGATCTGTCTGCTGTCTCAATAATTAAATGCACTTCAATATTGGTTAGGAAAACTAATTGTTTAACCAAAATGGCAGGTATGTAATACAGTCTCTCTATTTAAAATTACTTTTAAGAATCAGTTTTAAATTGCTGGAGAACAGAACAGGAAGAACAGCAGCCACTCCTGGTTTTAGTCTGATTTGCCTGAAAGAAGCAGAATTAGATTTAGCAACCATGTATGGGAGAGGTATTTTTGAAAGGTAGGACCTTTGCCTTCAAAAGCCCTGGTGGTTAATAAAATTTACTTTCAACTAAAACTGATCTAAGTTGTTGGAATGTGTGACCAAGCAATATTTCTACCTCTGCTTTCATTTTCATGCTGGGTCTAGAAGCTCAAGTGCTAAAGTAGAATTTAATAAAAGTTGTTCTTGTGATGTAGGCAGTGAAGCTCACACAGACTGCTGCACAGAGCTGATAGATATCCCAAGGGAAATGTAAAAGGGGGAGGGAAGGTGCTCTTTTAATAAGAATTTTTCTGCTCGGTGTTCAGTTGTAGTCTGGGTTGAACCTGAAGCATAAACAGTGCGGGCTCAACTGGTTTGGTCTGTTTAAAACTGAAAGAGAGCACACAGTTCTCTATCTCCATTCAGATAAGAGAAGCAAAACAAATACATTTTAAAGACAATAGAGTAGAATGCTTATTCCATTGATTATATACAATACAGTACATGATATTGACTATACACACCAGAGACAATTAAAAATACTGATGATAACCGCCGAGAATATTTTGAAAGTTTGTCGTAATACTGTTTTGCTGAACTGTAGTAGAATAAGATCAATCTTAAACATCTATAATCATAGAGTTTACCAAAGTCCTGGCAATATTGGTGAAAGAGTTTGGCAATAGATAATTGTTCTCTATTGAATTTTGCAAAGGTGGCATATTTGTTATTGAAACGACTACCATGTAAAAACATATATATAAGCTTAACTTAACTAGATATATTTAGTTAATAATGTTGAAACGGTATATGGCAAAGCAAGACAAAAAAAAAGTTATTGGAAGAGTATTTTCAACAGCATCAGTTTCTGTTATTACTCAAATACTAAAAATACTGTTAAATGCCATCCACAGCTGTAAAAAGCTCAGATACGACCTGCAAAATAAAATATTAATTTATTAAATATTGTTTATAAATCCTCAGTGCTGCTTATCAGTGAAATGTAAGTCATTTTGCCATGCATCTTCAACTTTTATTTGACAGCCTAATAGATAAACTTTAGTTCTGTTGCCCTCTCTTGCATAAAATGTTCAGTGACATTTTACAGATTCCTGATTCAAAAACATGCCATTTTGCAACAAAAATAACTTTGATGAAGGCCTCAGTGCCACAAGACTAATATAAAATTTATGTGGTTTTAAGACTAATTTTAAAACTCAACAAAATATACTGTCTACATTCCCTGATTTCACACATGGAAATTCAAGTATATCCTCAATTCACCAATATATGTAAAATCTATGGCACCAGATGGTACAGAAATCATGCTTTTTCATGTGGAAAATAGACACTGTATATGTAATAATACAGGTCAAAATATTTTTGACAGAACTGTTTCTAAACAGAAAGTTCACACTCTTTCAGAGAAGGCTCTTCCTTTCTAAGGAAAAGATTTCTAAGACATTCATTCATTCATTCAGAGGTGAGGAATAAAAGTGTGTGTCCTCTTGACATCCAGATGTACTGTTAACCCTTCTCTAATTAACAGGCTACCTAATTAATGGCCTATTAGCAGACATTTACATGCACCTTACCAAAGCTGATTAGAATAAAAATGTAGACGCAGACCCCCAGCTGCTGTAAAGCTCACTTGACAGCACTGAAGTGATAAAACTGAAGGGTTATGTTATTTTTTTAAAGGCAAAAGTTGGAGAGAAAAGAAAGAATTTCAAGAACAGAAGAGAACTAATTGAAGAGGATAAAGAGCAGGTGCTAAATTCTACTGAGATCTTTTTCAGAACTGAATCAATAAACAAGTAAACATACACACAATGAACTTACAGCAGAGGTGTTCCTTGCCAGCTAACATTGATTTCCTTTGGCTATTAGAAATAACAGCAGCCAGGGTGAGGCAGCTCATGTTGGCTGTACAATATTTATACACCCTGATTCTGAAGAAGTTCATTCTCTGTGTGTGTGTGTGCGCGCGGCCATACACACACCACTGTGTTAATTTACAGTGATGGATAGTGTCAGGGAACCAGTATTTCACTACTATCACAACTTATTCTATTGCTCTGAAAAGCACACAGAAAAAAATGTTATCTTTGGAGTGCTACAGCAGATATGACTAGCAGATCTAGTCAGATATTTTAATAGGTTCATAGTCTGCCAGGACAAACACTGAATTTGGAAACATTCAGAAAACTGTCAACGTTTCATTCCTTCACTTTCCAGAACAAAGCATTTAAACTTTTCTTCTACATCGTTATTTGCTTTCATGATCTTAAAAATAGTAAAACAAGTTGCATTTGAAGCAAAGGAAAATTTCATTTGTAAGTTGACTTTGTAGAAGTTTGCAAAATTTAATTTTCTTACCTTGGTTAAGCTCCACAATCATTCACAAAATCAGTATATTTCTAGAAGTTAGGGCTCTCCAAGTCTGGATGCTATCTAAGATCAAATCAGAGCTGCTTTATCTACTTTAATATATAATATCTACCAGGCTTCACATGGAAGCTGTTGAAGATACCTAGTTTATCTTCTCAACAAGGTGACTGCTAAGGGAGTAAAGTTGTCATTTCAGTGTGGAAACGATCAGCTTCTCACAAGCATTTTCTGTTTGACATGCCTTACGGGGGTTCATTTAAGCACTTAAGTCCTTAAGTTTTATTGGCGCTTTTTTCTTTTTTTTTTTTTTTTAAGTAAAGAAATTGAGCCGTGGAAGGAAAAAGAAGCAGGAGATAGAGGTTGTGCAATTAAATGATCTTGTGATTTCTTTCCATAGAAAATTATTTTCTTCTCAAAATAAAAAAGCAAACACAAAAAGTCTTTCAATGACAAATTATTTGTTAGTTTATCTTGTACATAATAAATTCAAAATAGAAGTGCTGAGGAAAGAAAGAAGGAATCTTACAGGACAGTGCAGGGCAGGAGCCCAACCTCAAAGCACTAGTCAAGCAGAAGTGCTCAGCAGTACCTGACAGAATTTGTTCTTTGGTGGTAATTCTTTTGAATCCTTTTCACAAGATGATGGATAACTCAGAGTAAATACTACCTTTTCAGTGATTCAAACCCTTCATCTGGTTATGCTTTTTAGCATACGGAACACTTGTCTTCTTCAGTAATCCTGGCTTATTTTTCCCTCCTTAATGTTTGTTGAACACTGTAATTTTATTTCTTAAACTAGACAGTAAGATCTTCTGAGTAAAGGTCATGTACTTTTATGGTTTGATTTGGTTTTTGTACAGTGCAATAGTATCACAATTTTTTCTGAAGCCTTGTTGTGCAATGCAAATAAAAGTTAGTGCATGTCATATGCTTAATGGTTTCCTGTGTAAGAATAACAGAGCATGCTGAGCCAGGCTTTTGTATTAAACTACTGCTTGCAGAGTCTTTCACGGTGGCATTAATCTTGGGTGTTAAACTGCAATGCTGCAGAGGTCAGGAGCCATTCACACTTGAAACAGTGGCTCAGAGAGAAATACAGCGCTGACCCAAATCAGGAGCAAATGCTGTTACAGGAAGACATATTTTATCCTTTAAACATTGCTCTTATAAATTCCCATTTGCAAAGCTACTATTGGAAAGTTAAAACTTTTCTAATAGGAAACATTAGCTACTCATCACCAACACCACCTCCAGCAAACAGCATTTCTGAGCTAGCTTCATTGTATGTTTAAGCTTATTATTAATTGTAACAATTTAACAATGATTGTTAGATTATATAATGTTAAAAATATAAGAATATGTTGAAAGCAATTACGATAAATGCTCAAGAGATTTTATCTTCTTTTTTTTAATTAGTCTTTTACAAGTTCTAATTCTTCTGTATTTGACTTTATTTGACATTTTTCAGAACATTATTTTAACTTTAATAAGGATGTTAATAAGAGATATTCAGGTGATAAATTTTACTTAGATTTTCAAAGGCTTTGACTGAGGTGTCTCATTGAGAGCACTGAAAGAAACTACACAGTCATGAGATAAGTGGGAAGGTCCTTGCACAAATAATTGCTCAAAAGACAGGAAATAGGGTCTCTTCTGTAAATTGTTTATTCTACAAGGAGAGGAAGTCACAGAGATTTTCTGTTACACACAAATTTATGATGGGATACTTGTCAGTGTAATAATAAACATCTTCTAAAGAGTATAAATAATCAGCCGCCCAAATCTACTTCTGATACTGAGTTGTTGAAGGAAGAAAAGAGGAAGGGCTGACACTAAAGACCTTGCAATGCTCAGAAGCCAGGCAATACATGGATGAAATTAATTATAGATGAAGTCTTAGCTTCACATACATGATAGTGATGATCTCTGAGTTGACCATTAATTACTTCTATTGATATTACTGTTATGGTAGGCGTTTTTTTGCATTCAGTGCTTACTAGTGTTTAAAAAGCAAAGCCACTGTTAGAAATTGCTAGGAAAGGAATAGAGAAGAAAGCAGAGATCACACGGTATGAACCATAAACTATGATAAGAATTATAAACCACTGCATACCTGCATCTTGAATCTTGACTCCCCATCTCAAGGTGAACAGAGGGGAATTGGAGAAAATTGAGAGGACAAGATGAATGATCAAAAGTCTAGAAGGTCTTTATCATGACTTGTCCAAGTTAAGTAGGACTCTTCAGTCTGGACAAGAGACAGCTGAGGGGCAACGTGCTACAGGTTTATGAATGGCACAGAGATAATAAGTAGGGCTCAGATGCTCTTTCTCCCTCTATCTCTCTCTCCAACACAAGAACTGGCAAATATCGATTGAAGACAGCATGGAAGATATTAAAAAAAAAAAAAAAAAAAAGGAAAAAACAGAAGGTGGTAGGTCTTCCTGAAACATGTATTTGAACTATAAAATTCCTTGCTGCATGATGTAGCAGATATCAAAAGTTTATATTTGTTGTAGGAAAAGCTAGACAGATTCATATGAGATGGTTATTAAAGGATTATTAAAAGCACAGAAACCACAATTGGATCAGGAAATGATCTGCAAGTGATCTGAGATCAGAGAAAGCAAAGATAAGCATCATACATGCTTGCCATGTTCTTATACTGCTCTTTAGATGTCAGCTTTTGGCCACTGGTAGAGTCACGTTAACTTTAGTCAGCCTATAGCCTGATGAGGTACAGTCTTTTTATAGTCTCAATGTTAAAAATAGAAACATGCCACTATACATTTACGTACACTGCTTTTAAAGACTTGATGAGAAAACTATTATTACTAGTAATATATTCCTCAGGAAAGATATGAGCTCACAATTCCAACTTGGAACCTGTGTAATAATGCAAAGCCATCATAGAGTGCTGTGTAAATCTCAATCTGTGCAAAAAAAACAAAGGCACTTGGTAAAACCGTCAAACCATGGACTGCAATGAAGTGCATCGATCACAGTAACAGTGGCTGAAATGTGTTTCAGCTATTCAGTCTCAGTTCTGACCCTCCCCATGCTCAGAGTTGTGAAAAACCCAATCAGTATCTTTTCCATAATGACCCTGCACAGACGAGGGGCAATCAACATGCAAAAAGTGAGAAGGGCAGCCATGTTAACCACTCATTTCTCCAAGCTGTATTTGAAACCTTGCTACCATATGACACTTAGGTGAGAGATGTTAAATCTGCTCCATCCATTTTGTTCTGGATAGTGGCTTGTCAAATTCCATCACTATCTGGCAAGACTAGTTTTGCCTGTCTTTACTGAGATAGTTTGGGTATTTTTTTGCAGCAACAAGAAATATACATTGAACAAATTCCCAAATCTGCCTTCAGCCTAATACATTTAAAAAGTTGAATCAAGAGTGAAATACAAAAATTAAAATAGAAAAAAATTATGACGTGTTCCCTGAAACAAACTTCTTACATATGTGGCATTAATAAAAAAAGTAATTATTTTTTCTCACTGGGAGAAAGATAACTGTGAGGGTTACCTGACCAGGCTTTGCATTCTCACAAACGACTACATCATACTCTCTGGCGAGCTCTGGAGGGTTGTCATTGATGTCCAGGATTCTAACACCAACTGGAACATGGCTCACTAGCCCAGGATTGTCTGCAAATTATACAAGGGGGTATTAAGCCTTTTGAAATACTCGATATTCCATGACATCCACAATTTAAACATGGTTTCTTAACACAATAACCGGATGAGAACTAGATACAGACTCAGAAATGTAGGTAGAAAGATACCAAAAGGTGCTTCATCTTGTGTTTCATTAACTTGGGAAAAATAATTTTAAAGGAGAAGTGAAAAGTATGGTATAAGTCTTAAGTCACTGTTATATCATATCAATAAAAGTGCAAGCTGCTCTGGAACTGAAGTGAGACAAAGCTGTTGGAGTTATCACATACTGTCACACTGTATGCTAAAAAGTGATCAATTGCTTTGTAATGAACGTGAAAATGTCATCACAGTATTGAATAGAATCTAATACAAAAAATATTAAAACTTTTTTATTTTTCTGAGTCCCTTAAAGAGTTTTGGAAATAAAATACCAAAATAATACGAAAATATGAATGCGTAAGTGTATATAAACACTTCCCAAGCTCGAGTTCAGCTTCCTTACAAGTTATTATGCTATTACACAAAGTATTTAACGAATCTTGCTTTAGCAGTGACATACCAGTAAGAAAATTATGTTTAAGTAGCAGTGTCTTAGTCTATGATCTGTACTTTCAGGAGAGCTCACCCTCAAAATGAGTTCACCCTCAGAAACCACAGTAAATAGAATCCTTTCAATGAGAATACACTTTCCATGACAAGAAGGGAAAATGATCACTTTTTTTTTTTAAATCCATAATTCTCTTGTTCTTACTACTAAGTACTAATAAAATTTTATTTTACTGAAATAATTATTTATTAAAAATTTTTACACTTAGCTAAAATACACCCTCTGAAGTCTGCATAAGTACCAGTTGGCTAGATGACAAACTTCACTTTACTTTCACCAGTTAAATCAGTAGAAGTCAAAGTCAATCTTTCAAACACAAGATGGAAGAATGGGGTCTTACAAATCAACATTTCAAAAGTGCATGTCCCTGTGTGTGCTTATGAGAATTTAAAAAAAAATAATGAGAAACATTAGTAGTCTAAGCCTCATTCACCTTGATTATTTAGATCTTAATCTACATCATGTTTCTGTCAAAAAAGGTCATTTATAAAATGCCTTAGAATTGTCACACCTTTAATGGCCTTGTTTAGAATTCTGAAAAACATTGATTAGACAAATATTTGGCTTCAAATCCATCAGTAATATAGTCTCCCAATGAAGGAGTATTTGGGAATGTCAGAGTTTCTTTTGATGAAGAGATTTATCCTTCTCTATTTTCACCTGGGATACTAGTCAAAGAGCCTGGGGTTTAGTTCTCTTCAGATTTTTCAAACTCTCTTTTTAACTAATATGTCTATGTTCACCTGATGATCTTAATTCAATTTTGTCAATTATCCCCATAAAATGGGAATAGAAAGGAGATCCAAAAAGTCAACAGAAAAGGAAAACTTAGATGATATAGGAACCTCTATTCTTAATTAATGTTAACATTAGAAGTTATAACACACTCAGAAGACATTTATAGACTTTCAAATTCAATTTTCTTGCTGAAATTCTCCTCGACTGTTGGTATTTTCAGTTTTATCTCAAAACTATGAATAAATTTATAACTATATAAGGCACTAAAGAATGATATCTCAATTGTATTCATGCAAGACTGAGACTTTCCATTGCTATCTAGAAAACACTTTTAGTGGAAAACTTTGAGGAATGTTAAAATGCTAGGACTATATGAAGAGAAGGTGAGGAAGAATGACCCTTAGCTGTTCACTAAGCAGCTGGAAGAAAGTAACCCTTCATCTACCTTCACTCTTACTACTTAAAGAAGAAATCTTCCCTCTGGGAGACCCTCTGCAGTATGAGTATTAACACAAAATATGTTTGGTCCTTCCCTGGAGGTAGGTCATGGGACTGTGCAGAAAAGCACAAGCAGTAAGGATTGAGTATTTCTTATTGCTCTCTGAAATATATCTTGCAAACTCATAGGGGTAACCTTCTGTCAATGTTATCAGACAATCCAATTACAAAATTCCTGTTACTACAATTACAGAACATGATATTTAGGAATAGGTGATCTGGAGATGATCTACGGCTCAAAGAAGCTTTGTTCTTGAGGCTTTGTTCAGGAGGCTCTTGCACATAGTCTGTGAGGCATGCGAACTAGCAAGTCGTATAAATTAAAGGATACAAAACAGATAAAGAGAGCATGGAAAGGAGACAGAAGACAGAGATCACAGTAGAGTTAAGGACAAATAAATCCATTTGGGAGGGGCTTCATAAACCATAGTGAAGGCATTGAAGATTTTAATGCTAGAGAAATCCTGAAGAAGCTTTTGCCAGAAGCCAAAAAGGTTGTGATTATCAGATAATCATAGGATCATTGAAAAATCTTAGTTGAAGGGGGAGTGTTCTGGAAGCCACTGGTCCAGTCTCCAGCTCAAATCAGGGCCATCTTCTAAGCTATAGGGGGGGCATAATACATCTATGAGGAAGAGAGCAAAAAAGCAGGAAGAGCACAGGACAGAGTGTACCACAGGTAGAGAATGTGTATAGGTCTGGAATGTTTGGAATAGTTACTGGGGGAGAAAAATCAAACATTTTAGTCTAATGTGTGACAAAAAATGCTCAATACTTTTGTTTCAGTACAGTGTGTCGGACCTCTTTGCCCCATCTTGAATGTGTCCTCTTGTATGCCTGTCACTACTACCCAGTGCACTCTAGTCTGTTAAATCTGCATTATTTTCACAGATTTCATGAAGATTCAGAGAGTTTACCTTTATTCTGAAGCTGCTTTGCAGTACAACGAATTCATAAATACCTTACCAGTTTAGAAGAGTTCTTAATGCAGAAGGCATTATTAGTATCTTTCTGGAAGCAGTTACCTCATGGGATCACTGACATTTGCAGGCAAATTTCCATACTGACAGCCTACTTGCTACAAAATGCTAATAGGAAAAGTATTAACACCACTTACCAAAACAGTCTTGAAGTTTGTCAGACTGTGTATACTACATAGATCTGCAGGCAAGATGATAGCATAGTTTATAATGGGAGGAATGAGAATGAATTAAGAGGGAACTTACAAACCTTTTATTTTTTTAAGGCTTGGCTTTGTTACTTTATTATAAAATTAACTCAAATCCTTTTCAGGTCTACAACTCACCTGCAATCTCCAAACAGCTCTAATAACTCGTCCTTTTAGTAGTACATTTTTGTTAATTAGACAAATTTCTTGCAACAGTTTGGCATATTTCCAGTTTTAAGATAATCACTGCTGACATATATTTCAGGCCTATGCATTATAAACATTCAGATCCATTCTGTGTCCTATTAACACCATGCCTCAAGAGTAGATTTTTCAAAGTGATTGCACACTGTTTTAAGGGGCAACTGAAGCAGAAACATTGCTCTGATTCACCTACACTAGGGACTTGCTTTATTATGCTTGAGACTTTTCCAAGAATAAATAGTTCTCCTGCCAAAATATTAAATATCTATAAAGTGAATCCATTTCATTATCAGCCCTCCACCAGCAAATCCTCTGAGAACTTACAGAAGTGCCTATCAACAACCAGTCTCAAGTCTTGAATATTCTCTTCCATTAATTTCTGTGGGCAAACTTTAAAACCCTTATTTAATAAGAAAGCTTTTTAAAACTGCTACTGTTGTCCAATACTTCCTTTTCATATTAACAAAATTCACCTGGGCTTTATGAAAATAAATTCCACCAGAATGACATTGAGAATAACAGGCCTGACATCAACAGTCTTTTGTGGTTTTGTTTTTTTGCTTTTCAAGTTAGAATGGTATAGTTAAACAGTTGTTATTATGAAAGCTGAGTGAATAATTTAACCCAGAGACAGACTGAACTATTTTAAAAGTGAAGGATTTTATATAAAAAATGAATAATTTTACATGTTTTCACAATCTAGAACAAAAATCTTCACGTAGCATAGAATTAGAATTAATGCATTTTCTTCATCAATATTAAATATTGATTGTAATCAGTACAGTAACAACTTTTTTTCTCATTTTGACATCTTTTCAAGACCTTATGAGGCAAGCCAGTACTTAGGAAGTTCAACTAACTACTATTCCAGTACTTTTTAAAAGAGTAGCAGAAAGCATTCATCACACTTTAATAGTGATTAGTTTTGACACATTAGAAGACTAAACATAGAGCTAAGAAGGATAAAATATACTACAGAAACAGAATTAAAATGATGAAAGAATGTCTAGTATGTAAGTGAGAGCAGGAATATTCAGAAAATTCTGGGTTTAATTCAGGATGCTGTGTATCCGATAAACTAAATCTTCTGGCAATGAGAAAATTATGCAGAATATAGTTATAATTGTAATGTTTTATTCTGCTTTTTTAAGGCAGTGCTTATTTTTAAATATTGTTACCTGAAATTGGCCATAAAGTGTTTTATTTTTTCTTAGCAAAATCTGACTTTTCACTGACGAACACAAACCTGAAGACACTGATCACTTCTCTTGGATCATGCTCAGTGGTAGGGGTAGTAGTAACAGGAGCAATAGTAGGAATAATAGTACTGCAGCAGACTGAAAACATTTAGTGCTCTTGAGCTGGCCACGCCCTCCGCCTTGATGAAAGCAAAATTTTGCAGCTCATAGACAACAGTGGTGCTCACCTCCTGAGCAGATCAAGGCACCATAGAATATATTGATTCTGTGGCCAGAAATGTCCATTTTGAGATTCTAGTACTGATTCACAAAGCCACGAACAGGGAAATATTACATTCTCTTCTCTGGGGACCCACCTTGGTAGCCAGAAAGAGCCATACCCTACACCATCTTCAGGTGACAACGTAGGACTATTTTCATTATACCTTTCCCCAAAGAAACAGAGAAGAAAATCTGTCATGCCTAGAAACCAATGAGTAAACCATGATAAACAGGGAAATAGGCATCGAACTTGGAATTAGAAGCATCACTTCTTGAGCAGGATGGAGAACTATCTGTCTTTTGACAACTGGGG